TACAAAGAGTAATATATAACATAAATTATTTATGTAAAAATAAGTACTTAACTCACTGTAATTAGTCAAATATAGAACATTGCTTTAAGAAAATTAACTTTGCAGTAAAAAAACATTCTCTCGTATGGCAAAGGGAAACAGCATAGAAGGCGCGAGACAGGTAGTGATCATCAAGGTGCCTGCCAAGTGATGATTAAGGCAAATACTTCATTATAATGGGAATGAACAATCAAGCAGTGAACTTTTACTAATAAGAAGTATAATACTGTGGACCGTGTAGTAGCGGTGTAAGAATATCCACAGCCCTATATATCTACCCACGGGACGGGTCGTAAGAGGCAACAGAGGGAAACAGAAACAGCAGTTGGGCAGCAGCATCTTCCTGATAACAACTCAGACTAATATAAACTGCGGTTGTCAACCTGCCAAGTGTGACAAATTTGGCAAAATCCCTCATATGAAACAATATATGAGGGACTTTTACAGGTTTAATGGATGGAATAAATAATACCATGGACCCTCCTGCAAGCAACTGATCCAGAACTGTATTTGACTCAATAACCTGTTGTTGCAATCTTCTGCAACGAACGAGTCTCGCATGACAGGTGAAACAGACAATAATGGGCTCCTCATCTCTCTGAAAATATGAATGATAGTCATAAATATGGGAAACTACTTAAATATACAAGTTAGTAATAATATCTATTAGCTACCACAATTCTCTTCATCAATACCATTTTTTATAATATTGAAATGACTGGCTCTCAATGTCCTTCAGGCTGGGACATATACTACTGCCGGTGGCAGAAACAGGTAAGAGGATGATCACTGCCCAGGCAGAAACAAGTCCTACTACATAGTGAATCATCATCACTGCAACAACACACTCCTAAGCCAACTAAATCCATTGACTGCCTATCTTACCAGATTGCCACTATCTAGTGGGAGGCTAGTCTACAATTTTGCTTACCAGAATGAAGCTACCGCTCAAGAATAATGTTTCCCCTTCTGATGTCAGTTCTGCAAGCTACATGTATATTCTCTAACTGATTTAAAACATTGTGAGTGTCAAGTATATTGGAGTCCCCTTACTTTAACAGATATCATTTTAAAATCAGTAGATTCACACTCTTGGGACCCCAACAGAGGTATTTACAAGTTTGGGCTTTCAAAATTCAATTCAATAAGCCTATGTTAAAAATTTATCTTCAAACTACCTCACTATTAACATTACAAATACTTCTCTTATTTGCTGCAAGTAAACTGAAAATGCTTGCACTACGAGTAATTTTCAACAATAGTCAAATGGCAGATTTGTACTTACTACTTTATGGAGTATGCAGTCCACACCTTTCACTATTATGCCCTATCACTTGGTTTCAAATACATATGGGCAGCAGCATTTTGCACATAACAGGTCAGATAAATAAAAAAACTGCAGTTGCCAACCCACCTAGCAACTATGGCAAATAAAAATAATACCAGAAATGATACATAAAATATATTTAAAACATATATCCAACCTATTTTAAGATATGCCTTCCAAATTATATTGATTCAGGTGGTTAAAGGCAGATATTCAAAAGTTCCTATAGCATTGAAAACATCCTATATGAGGAACATGTGAAAACACTTAAGCTAACCACTCTGAACGCCACGCCACCAGTATATATGGTCTCCCTTACTAATCCTTGAATTAATTTGGTCACAATGGAGACTGTTCATCAGCAAAGGACAGGATTATATTACATATATGTGCAAGCTAGCAACTTATTACCTCTTCTGATCTCAGTCAATATGAGTGAGGTAATTTCTACATCTTAAAGCACATGTGCACTAACTTAACCTCTCATGGTACCCACTGACGATACGTCCATTAATCCAAATGGAGTGGTAATCGTCCAAAATCGTTCTATGAATGGTAAAAACATATTCTATTTGGATGGATTTCATCCAGTTCTGAATTTCCAAATGGATTGAAATCCATGCGTCCAGTCCAAATGGACGTCATCCACGGCCGTCCTTCGATGTCAAAAACGTGCTCCACGCCAATGGAAGGAATGGAAGCAATCCGAATCGTCAGTAAATGGGCGAACTGGCGTCCATCTTTTGGACGTTATTGCGTCAGTTACTGTTTTGGTGTTGATGGTAGTACATGTGCTATGTTTGTCAAGCATAACCTGTGTTTACATAATGATTTCTTATATTTATGCGAACACTACACATTGATTAAAACTACTTTTACGGATTTTATCGCGGTTATTTTTACTTTTAATAACTTTTATTTTTAATTCCCGACATTTCGGGCGCTTTCCAGCACACGAAGTCCCGCGTAACCATGAGTGCTGGAAAGCGCCCGAAACGTCGGGAATTAAAAATAAAAGTAATTAAAAGTAAAAATAAACTGTGTATTGGATTAAACATGTTTTTATTATGTAAACTATAAACTGTGTACTTGTTTGTCACCCAACAAACGAGTACACAGTCCACATGATGTTAAGTTGATATTGTAGCCCATAGACTGAATCTGTGATCGAATAAGAATCAAAATGTAAATGCATTGTCACACATTTAGAACTATGTGGAGTGCCTCGTTTCCAGTAAAATATTATCTGGTTCTTTACACTCAGCATACGAAACGCAGCAGATTTAAGCTGCTATTTTATGCTATTTTGTGAGATTGTGGTCCTTCTTTGTTCGAGCCGACCCATTTGTGCTACATCCATAATATCGATGCAAAGTTGCTCTACCACATATATTTATAACGAAAAATATCCTCTATATGTTGATTTCTTTTATTTCAACCTCAGTCAATGATATTGCTCCACCATAATATATACCATATCTAGAACTGGAGTGCCAAACTAGCACGCAGTCCACCTGGTGGTGGGTGCTGTGGCCCATAGACATTTACATGTATCCTCAATTGAGAAACAAAATATAGATGCGTTGTCATCTTTGAAGACTACAATGGATTGTACCGTTTAGGTTTTTTGTCTTTTTAATGAAACGCACGCTGCTGCTGCCGCCAGTAAAGTATTATTATCCATATTTTTATTTATTTCCGTTCCGTACAACTACCAAGTTCGAAGTGACGACATGCGTCCAAATGGAAGTATCGTCAATGGTACCGTATCTGGATAAATGTTCATTTGGAGTGCATCCATTTGGAAATCTTCTAAATGGACGTATTGTCAGTGGGTACCTTCAAACGGCAAGCTTCCAAATTTGACAGCTTTGATATTCCGTCAAAATTCAAGAGGACAAATGTGACTGCACACATCCACAGAACTTTAACCAATAATTACTTATGTTTAGAGACTACTTTTCTTTGAAGAAGTTTGGCATTATAGAATCAATATGAAATTTTCTATCCTTTGGTTGAATAATCAGTTACTTAGTCTATTGATATTTATTAATAATCTATGTTCATTTCGTACGCCGTTTTCGTGTGAATGTTACTGTGTTGATTTTTGGATTTTTCTTGTGTTTTAGTATAGTGTTTTATTATAAAATTGTAGTGAAAGTTTTTGTATGAATATAATTTATCTTTTTATGTAAATAATTTTGAGTAATATATAGAAATAATTGTGATTTTCACACTGCAGACATCCTCTTGGTATATATTTTTTTTGTTATCAACATACAATAAAATCTTTTTCTAATGAAGTAGAACCTGACTTTTGTTTAGACCACAAAATAGAGAATTTTGTATAGATTTTATAATACCAAACTGCTTCATGTGGGTAAAACAACTAGTGATTTTAGTGTGATCCAGCATTCAAAGCTAATTGTTGTTTTTCAAGTTCTGGTTGTATTTACATACATAATACATAAACACTCAAGCCTGTCACCCAGAGGGGTAGGCAGAGACTACAGACTTCCATTTGGCACGATCCTGACACACCTCTCTCGCCTCCTCCACATTCATGTACCTACGCATACATGCTAGTCGGTCAAGGGTAATCTTAATTTGGCCCATTTTCAATATATCGCCAATTTGGTCGATAAACTTTCGCCTAGGACGTCCCTTTCAGACTCTTCCATTCACTTGCGCAACATAAATTTGCTTTGCCACTCTTTCCTCACTCATTCTTTCTTCATGACAAAACCACCGAAACATTCCTTTCTTAATCCTGGTCATAACATCAAGTCATCATCATGGTTGTATTTGTCACTTTATTTAACGCTGCACCTTAGTCTGACCCTGATCTATCGCATTTTATATCAGGTAAGTTATATATGTATATTATTCCAGTGATAACAACTTTAATTTGCAAAATTAGATAGTATTATTAATCAAAGTCAAACTTACAAAACTGTTCGTCAATGTTTGAAACAAATTTTGGAGACCAGTGTTCTTTAATATAAACATGCGTACATTGACGCTTAAACAAATTCTACAAATTTCACCAAAGGCCATTCCTGTATTTTATACTAATTCTGTTTTCATTAATAAATCACAGACCAGACCAGATAGATAAACAATAAACCGAAGTTTTTCAACTAATAACTTTCACTTCCTATATATAAAATAGGCTTGGGTAAAAAATATCGATATATCGAAATATCGATATTTTTTCATAAAATAATCGATATATATCGTCGATATTTTTAATCGCGATATATCTTCATTCCGATATTTATTTTAGAGTATCGAATTCGTATCAATTTCGATATATTTTACGCAATTCTTGTTTCGTTTATTTAAAAAAAATCTCGTTACAATCTTCATCAAATCGAATATTGCAGTAAGACCATAGACCAAACAGAAGCATTCTTTTGTCTTTTGCTTTTGGTTTTGTTTATGGTCTCACTGTTACGATTCGTACTTGTGTCTCGTAAATTACGAATTCAAATTTGTGTTTTGTGTTTATGATGTACACAGCAAGACAGTAACGGTATTTTTCTACGGAAAACTTAAAAGTTTAAAGTTAAAAATAAAGCTAAAACTAAAAATACTTCGAATTCGAAGCTTCGAACTTCGAATCTTATCAATCATGTCTTCTGTGTGGAAGTTCTTCAAAAAAGAAGACAACAACAATGATTCAGCTTCTTGCAATTTGTGCGGCAAGTCGTATAAAACGTGCGGTAATACAACCAATTTGGCCACTCATTTAAAAAATAGGCATCATTTTACTTATTTACAAATGATGAAAATGCCTAGTTCATTGAAAACAACTAAATACTCTTTGAATTACTTTGACTTGAATAACTCCAATGTAATGTATCTACTGTTAATGTAAGATTATCAAATATTAATATATCCTAAAGTATATAACCTAAAATCTTTGAGTATTTAATATAACAGCAATAATAAATCAAAGACTAAAATAAACTAAACAAGTTGTCTCTCTCTAAAAATAATAGACTGAGTCGAATTAACTTTTTTGTATTAACTTTCTTTTTTTACTTTTTCTATATTTTCAGCTTAGTTTGCCATCCACTAGTACTGGTTATAAAAATTCCCAGCAAAATCAAGAAGATGTCACAGTCAATCCTGCTGAGATGGTTTATCATGAAGCTAAAAAAAAGAAAACAAAGCACCTTAGTAGCTTGTTTAGAGAGAGGCTCAAGCTTCGAAGGTATGTTACTGCAAAGTAAGGTGTTTTTTTTTTGTTTTACTTTTTAAATGAAAATGTGTTAATAGTAAGTAATTTCTTATAGTTATAATAAATTTATTAAATAAATGAAATTAACCATGTTGAATAAAATTAGCATATCCAAATTCATTCATAACAATCTACAATTTCATAAATTATCAATTTATATTAAATTAGTCATGTTTCATGTCAGGTCACTAGCGGCTATTTAATACCATCTTAAAATTCAATCAATTTTGTTCGATAAAATAACTTAACCTAAAGAATGGAAGGGACAGCCTGTGGCCGCACCAGTCAACATTAAATTATAATTCTGAATTTCGGTAAAACTTTGAGAAAATTGAGGGGTTTTACTGAATGTGAAACGAATTTCGGTGCATCACTACTTTTTAATACGAATTTTAAATAGTATAGTTGTCGTCGCGCCTTATAAGTACGCACACCTCGTTGAGTTTGCTCTTCACAAATAATAAACAAAAAGTGGTTGAGAGTGACTTTTGAAAGTATGTTTTTGTTCTGCTACTTCAGTTTTTGTGTGTATCAAACAATTAACTTTAAAAAATTAGTCAGTGATATTCGCAATTAATAATAATCAATAAAAATCCGATCCGTTCAATGTTCTCTTACCGTCAATAGCAATAAATGTTATAAGTACGCACACCTCTTTGAGTTTGCTCTTAACAAATAATAAACAAAAAGTGGTTGAAAGTGACTTTTAAATGTATATTTTTGTTCTGTTACTTCAGTTTTTGTGTGTATCAAACAATTAACTTTAAATAATTAGTCAGTGGTATTCGCAATTAATGATAATCAATAAATATCCGATCCGTTTCAATGTTCTATTACCGTCAAATAGTAATAAATGACACACACACACACACACACACACGCACACGCACACGCACACGCGCACGCACACGCACACGCACACGCACACGCACACGCTAACGCACACGCACACGCACACGCACACGCACACGCACACGCACACGCACACGCACGCACGCACGCACGCACGCACGCACGCACGCACGCACGCACGCACGCACGCACGCACGCATGCCACGCACGCACGCACGCACGCGCGCGCGCGCGCGCGGTGTGGTTTTAATTTTTATTTTATTTTCCTCCTTTTATATTGTTTCGTTTTTAAGTTAACAAGTTTATTATTTTTTCATTTATTACTTTCTTTTTACTTTTTGCTAACTCATACTTGTCCCTGCCGACACTGATTTTGTGAAGAGCGCTGATTTCTATGATACAGGCCCTGCCTAGTTTAGAAGTCAGAGGTTCTAATATAATTTAAGATGTAATATTTAGACAATATGTTAATATATATTTTATGTAAACTCATTGTTATGCAGCAATAAAAATTTATTATTATTATTTATTAATGGAGTAGATGGTGCTATTGCTAAGCAATTTTACACTAAACTAAATTCTTTTGATTTATTACACAAAAAAGTAAGGCTTTACATGTTTAAAAATGAGGATTGTTATTATTAATATATGAATTCTTTATATTTCTTCTCTTTTTTGAGATTTTGAAACCACACACACAACACAGAGCCAAGTGTGTGAGGGGAAATTTAAATAGTAAAAGTGGATAATAAAGTAGAAGATGTCAGAAACCCTTCTGGTGATGCAACAGGGGTTGAGAATGATGGCTTTTTGCAGCATGTGAAGTGTGAGTAGGCATGTGTATAGTGTTAGGGCTTTGTGCGAGTGACTTTGGTATAATATGGGTGGATGAGAGGACTATCCGTACGCTGTAAGCATTTTGTGCTTTCCATTGAGTTTTAATTTCTATGGCAAGTTCTTTTGCTTAGTTTTTCAGATATAATAATTTGAATGTTATGTGGGTGTATTGCTATATCTATCAGGTAAACTGTTTTATTGGTTTTGTTGTGAAAGGCAGGTCTGTTGTAATTAATAGTTTTATCTGTTATTATTGTTATGTCCTAATAGATTTTCTAAATCTTACTTTCTAATATTATTTCTGGTTTATTATTATTATATTATATGTGTTGCAAAATTAAACTTTTATCTTACATTTTATGCCACATAAGTGGTTGAAAATTATCATTAAATAAATTATTTTTTTAAAAATATTTTTAATTTATATTTCATTTCATTTGAAGTTTGCACTTCTACTGCGGGCGAACTGCACGCATATTTTTTTGTTGTTGTGAGAGTATTCTTAGTTGAAATTTTAGTTGAGTACTACCATAGCCATAGATTGATGATAAATCAAGTAATGATTTCATTCAAAGTACAATCTATTACATTTTAGTGATGTCCACCATTCAATATCGATAAAATATTATTGATTTACATTTGACATTCACAGTTTGTTTCATTTATTACGTATGATTTTTTGAGTAATTTTGCATTAGTACTTATGATCATTTATGATCATTTTTATTTTTCAGAAGGTGGACAAAAACATAGTGAAATAACACAGGCACTGATTTACATGATATGTAAGGACAATTTGCCATTATCATGTGTTGAAAAAAAAGGCTTGCAAAAACTTATACGCACAGCATGCCCTCTTTATATACTGCCTTCCAGAAAAAAGGTATTTATATTAAAAATTATCATTCTTATTTATAATTGAAAATTTATATCACAGTAGTATAACTGGTACTTTTTGTAATTTCCAGGTAACTCATATGATAGAAAATCGATATAATACCACAAAAGCAGTTCTTATGAAATCCTTGACTGAGCAAAATTTTTTATGTTTTACAAGTGATATACTTACTCTCACTAATTCTACAAGGAGCTTCTTAGTATTAACAGTTCATTTTATTGACAACGTTAAGGGATCGCCTATCCTTCAAAATGTAAGCCTATGTGCGCAGAAACTGACTCAGGTGTGTTTTTGTAGTACTTTGTAATTTATCAATTATCCAGACCTTTTAATTATTTTAATTGATATAATTTAATAACTACATCTTAATTGATTCTCACATTGTAAAAATATATACAATATTTTCTTTTTTTAGGCTCATTCAGGACAGTACATAAAAGAATGCTGGGAAGAAATTTGTGAAGAATTTCATATAGACAAAAATAAAATTGTTGCCATTACAACTGATGGGGGTGCATATATACTGGCGGCAGTGCGATTGTTTTTAGGGAACGATCGCAGAATTTCGTGTATGGCACATTGCCTAAATCTTATTGTTGATGGGGTGTTGAAAGAAAATCACGCATTTTCAGCTCTTTGCGATCACGTAAAGAGCATCGTGACGTATTTTAAACAATCCGTAAATGCGATGGATCAATTACGCTCTGAACAAGAAGTATCTAGAATGCAAGAAGGGGAGGTGTTGACATTAACACAAGCCGTCACCACAAGATGGAACTCATGCTTTGACATGTTAAAAAGATTTACCACTCTTTCTGCACTAGTAGCTAAAATTTTAGCTACTAAAAGTCAGACAAGCCGAAATACACCCGACATGGTCGCAACTTCTCAATTAAATATTATATGAGATATTGTGGCTATTTTAGGCCCATTCAAAGAAGCCACGGAAGAAATAAGTGGGGCTAATTACGTGACTTCCAGTTTAGCCATTCCGGTTACAAATTTGATTCGCCAAGCAGTGGAAACTTTAAGTCCATCTACAAGTTTGGGGCTAATTGTTAAAGAAGCTCTTCTTAAAAAAGTTCAAGAAAGACTGGTACCTTTACAAGAAAATTCATATTTGTCCGCAGCAACAATATTAGATCCGCGTTTTAAAAAAATTCATTTCAATTCACCAATTGCGGTTTCACATGCCATAGCCAAAATTAGTAATGATATTCGGAGCGAACACCGACGCAGGGGTCAACTTTCCCCTGATCTTAGAACGATCCAAATAGGAAAAGCACAAGAAAAAACTGAGAGTTCAATTTGGTCTGGGCATGAAAAATTATTATCCCAGTCAACAACCGTGCCCGAGGTCCCGAGCTCTGGCTCTGTGCCCAATGAACTCAAGCAATACCTTGATCAACCTCTCCTTGAGAGAAAGGCTGATCCAATAAAATTTTGGACAAATTGCCAACATTTTACGCCAGTTCTTTCAGAAGTCGCCCTTAAATACTTAATTTGCCAGGCTTCTTCGGTCTCTTCTGAAAGAGTTGCATCAGCTGTGAATATAACTGTACCCGACAACAGAAGCCGCTTGACAGGAGAGCACGTCAAACAGAGAGTGCTACTAATGTCAATTTCGGATGAATATTGGTTTGATTAGATTACTTTCTAATAAAAATATACTATTTTCTTCATGTGTGTATTTTTTTCCGTATATTGAATATTTTGGGAATACATATTATGTATGAATGATCATGCAAAACATGTCGATATATCGATATTTTTCTGTCGATATATATCGATACTATTTTCAAATGCCGATACGATATATATCGATATATTTTTTTCACTTGCCCATCCCTAATATAAAAAAGTGCTCTGTGAATTTCACTAACTAAATGCTTTGACTAGAGAATAGAGAAACATTTTTCTCTAGTCAAAGACTAGATGCCGTAGACAGAGAAACCTATAGACACCGCCATAGCGTGTCGCAGAAAGAGACAAAAAAAAATACGTCACTATATTTAGGGTTACAAGTGTGAGGAAAAATTTACCCCACAACTAGCTATAAAATTAGAAATTAGTACGTGAAGTAAGCCTGAAAGGGAACACTGCTATTAACGATTATCATTGGTATGTATTGTAATTGATGGAGAGCTAAGTGGACTGTATTTGACTAATTATTTATCTGGGGGCACGACAGTGCCCCCGCCAAGTCGAGCAAAAAAGCGGCACGGTCGTACCATCTTTTCTCGAAGCAATTCAGGTCATTTTCGACCCCTATAACTTCGTGGTCAATAAAACTAGAAGCCTGAGCCTTTTCAGTAATCAAGTAAGCATTGTATAGATATGGTATATTTCGAATTTCATTCAATTTGAACCAGCAGTTTAAGAATTGTAACCAGTTAAACTTTCTTAATTTTGTCACTCACTGACTGATCGATCATCAAAACTCTAAGGCACTTCTAGCAGACATAGAAGCTTCAAATTTAGAATGCAATTAGTGTTTAGAGTATAAATAAAAAAAAACTAAAACATTTGTTAATTTCTGTCTAGTTTTCTAGATACACTAACTGCATAAATAACTTTGTAATCCCTTATAAATATATAGAATTACAAAGTTACATTTGCAGTGAATGAACCAGTGTACTTGTATATGTATTACAGGTGTACATAGGTACGTTGTTGGTACTCAAGAAGTAGAAGGTACTGGAAAAGTAAAAAAATTAAGACTATCTTATATACAAAAAGAAATGAGATGCAATTAAAAACATAACTTGTAAAAAAAAACCAAGTCTCGCAACTCAGTTCTTCTACCGTAAAAAGTTGTGAGATCCATGTAATACCAAGTCGGTTAATTTATTCAGCTCCTACTTAAGGGCCTTCTGTTTTAAGTTATTACGTATTTACCTAACCTAACAACATTTTATAGTGACCATATCAATTTTAAAAGTCTTTTATATTTTAAATATATAGATTGACTTGGCAATCGCATTAAGCAATCTAATTTAACCCTTTATAAGGCAGAGAGAACCAGAAAAGGTTCGAAAATGAAATTTTAGTATGTTGTTAAAGACACACATATAAGCATTTTTGCGAGTTTTTCAGTTCGGAAAATCTTCGGAAAATAAACGGAAAAATTGGTGGCACAATATGTCCCTCTGCCCATGAGGTAGCAGTAAAGTGGCATAATTTAAGTAAATTAAAGACAATGTAGTTTGTTACAATATATTTATTTACTTAAAATCACAAATATTATTAAAAAGGGACAATAGATGTCTTCAAACTTAAATATCTTCAGTTAGAAAGAGTTTACTAAATATAGGAATGCTTTTCTCTAACTCTATACTTCTTATAATTAGGTTTATTTTTTTTTGAGATCATTCAACTTTGGCTCTTATAATTACTTGAATACAATTACAAAAACTGAATTGATTTTTAAGGTTTCTGATGAAATTGACTGAAACAGGCATAAGCGCAAAGAAATACCTTGCATGTCGTGCAGGAGAAATAGGTTTTTTTGTTATTTGTCTTAGTACTGCACAAACGGCACCCGTACCGCGTGTTAGACTTGTCAATCAGGTGTATTCCGACGTCTTTGTATCGGATATCATCAGGAACTCCTACAGGTTTTTGATAGTGAGGACTGACCGCGACGCGATTCTTCTTGGCGACAAAATTAGGTGCGCTACCTAAGCTCCTTTTTCTCGACGAGTAGTCGCTGATAAGTGACCTGGCTAACATTACGCGAAATTGCAAATTTGTCAGCTTTACTGGATTTCTACTCGAAGTCAAGTACAATATGTACGCGTTAGTGATAGCTAAGTCAATCAAAAAATAAAAGATTCGACACCACCAACGTCTGTTTCGGCGACCAACTTCATAGGAACCACGTTTTTGGTCAAACCTATCCACCCCTCCCATCCTCTTTGTGTACTCAGCCGCTGCCAGAGGACAGGGGATTTTTTTCTTGGAACCATCTTTCATAGTTCTTTGACACTAGGTTTTTTGTTTAGGGTGAAATGCTGTACTTAAAAAATGCACATTTTTCGTGTCTTTCCAAACCATGAATGCTACGTCATTTTTCACTCTCCATATATATTGTCCTCTTGTAAGTTTTAGTTTCTCTTTCCGTTCTTTTTCTTTCTTTTTTATCATTTTTGATGGGTTTCATAAACTTTGGTAAATCCGCTCTGTTCAAATTTACTGTTGCTGTGGAGTAAATCTCTTTTTTAATAAAGGTATTGCATTAGTGGATACGAAGCAAAGAAGTTATCAAATGCTAAATGAACAGTAACCTCTTCTTCTATCAGGCTTTTTGACAAAGATTTTACCACATTTGATCCTAGACCGAACTCAGGTGTACTGTCGTCATTTTTGCCTGTATAAATTTGAAATTCATAGACGTAACCAGTAGAGCTATCTGCCCTAACCCAAACTTTAAAACCTCTCTTTATGGGTTTTGCTGGCATATACTGCTTCAAAGACGAAATTCCTTTGAATCTAATCATTGCCTCGTCGATACTTTGTGATGTGGATGTTCTAGCTTCATTTTTGCAAGCTGTGTTCAGCATTTCCAGTAACGGGCGAACTTTATATAGTTTGTCGTAGTCTGGATTTGATTTAGAAGGGATTTGGGAATTATCATTAAGATGAAGGTTTTCCAATATTTTTTTAACCCTTTTACAGGTCATTATTTCTGCCACCTCATTTACTCTAAACAACGGGTCACTAGACCAGTATAAATCGATGGAGGGTAAAACATGGAGGCCCATAATTATAATCATTCCAATAAAGGCTTTTATATCAGCACTCGTCACTGGTTCCCACTTCATACTCTTTTTATGGGCTGCATATAAGTTCGTTTGCTCAACTATATGATTGATTACCTCGCCTGAAAAAAATCTGGAAAAATATACGATCGGCGCTGTCCTGCTTGGAAAGAAATCTTTCGCTTTCAGTGGTATCCGATCGTAGTCTTCAGCTTTAGGTCTACTCTCTCAGCTGACCACATGCTGTTTTTCCATTCGTCGTCGTTACCATCATCTGCTGAGGTTTCACTCTGTGATTCGTTTTCCGAGGACGACGAGGATTCTGAAGAGAGAACACAACGACGACGTATCGGGCCGCGAATGGGACTGTCTTCAGACTGGCTTTCAAATCGTTCAATATTTGGACTGACATTTTCCCAATTCTCGTCCCAAGATGTACCGGGAATCGGGCTTGGAACTAAGCCCGGTCCTGATGCACTGCTTCCTTGATGTTCAAATAGGTCTTCATCCTCAAAGACACGAGTTAAATTCAAATTAGTATCTGGATCGTCCGCTTCATATCCATCTTCGGAATCATCAGGATCTTCCGGGAGTCCAAACATCATTTCCAGCTCTTTTTCAATGTCTTCATCTCTAAGTGCCGCCTAAAAATAAAAATAAAATAACAATAGGTCAATAGAATTTTTGCAGTCGTCGAGCAGGCAGATGGCCAAATACGGCCACCAGATATATGCCGAATGGGCCAAGGGCCACATGCGGCCACCAAGAAAAAATAAAATAGTCCATAATTTTAGATAATAACGTAAAAAAAATTTGTTCGTTACAGCAATTATAAACACTAAGTAATACATTAAAATCATTTCTTACCATTTTTTTTTAAATATTTTCGAAGATTCCACTAGATTAATTTTTCACGAGCGAAAATACCCAACTCACGCGCTGCTTGTTGACAGCAAAGTGACAGCTGTCAGTGAAGTGTCAGTGAGAAAAAACGTCTACCATATATGTTATATGGTAGACGTTTTTTGACGTAATATGAACCAATGTTGCCCTTAGTAGGAAGCAAAAGTCGTACTAATGATCGAAACTCAAATTATTTGGGTGAAAAATTGGTGGAGCATATAAGCCCACTGCCTTATAAAGGGTTAATATGAAAATGCACGTATTACTTGTGAGATACATTGTGGTTTCATGCGATGGCCAAGTCAATCTATATATTTAAAACATAAAAGACTTTTAACATTGATATGGTCACTATAAAATGTTGTTAGGTTAGGTAATTACGTAATAACTTAAAACAGAAGGACCCTTAAGTAGGAACTGAATAAATTAACCGACTTGGTATTACATGGATCTCACAACTTTTTACAGTAGAACTGAGTTGCGAGACTTGGTTTTTTTTTACAAGTTATGTTTTAATTGCATTATAATTTACTTTTGTGAAGAAAGAATAAACTAAAAAATTATGATATCTATCTGACTAATAAACTTAAAGAAACTATTGTGTAAATGAATGAGAGCTAATTGGACTGTATTTATTTAGGTTGTGTTTAAATCTTGAAGAAAGAAAATACTGAACTAACTGTTACCAGCCCTCTGTCACTCTTGCTACCTGCGTGAAATAATTACCTACAATCACGAGGCATACAGGGCAGGCCTCTGTCACTCTTGCAACCGGCGTGAAATAATTACCTAAAATTGCGATTTGGGTGTAATACGCAGTCGGGGCTAGCGCGTTGTAGGCGATTGATGTATTTTTAATTTTAACGCTGTTTACGTAAATAGTTTTTTGTAAACACTTGTAATTTTTTCAGCGTTTAGTATTTAATTGTAGGATAAAATAGTTCAAAAAAATTAATGTGATTTAAAAATAATATATGTGTATGGCAAAACTTCGAACCTACTATAATTGTTGCGTACGACGACTTTCAAATAATTTGTGGGTACGATACACGCGCCACCTAGTGTAAGTTAATTGTACTATACCTATAACCTTCACGCAAGTACAAGCAAAAAATTTACAAAGTTTTAGCGCAATCAGTTAAATAATGTGGCAGACGGCGCGTAAAATACGAACAAAAAAACATTAATTTTTAGGGTTAAGTGCTCGTAGTTTTATGTAACAGATTATATTTTAAACGACAGACAAAAAAGCGGCTACTGCCCATGGGCATCTGCAAGAAACATCAAGCACAACAGGCTACAAATTCGTTGTCTGAGGACTAAGATGGAATTCCTCACAGCCAGAAATCAATAAGACAGTGGTTTGCAGCTAGACGGAATTGTAGGCGGAGAAGGTTTTACATGAATTTTATTCAGAACGCACCCGCGTGGTTTTTTTTTGCGCGGAACCCTAAAATAAAAATAGCCTAAGTTACTCCTTATATCAACAAATTTCTGTCCTTATAACATCAAGTCCCATCCAAATCGGTTCAAAGGTTTTTACGTGATGCGTGTTCAGACAGACGTCGTGTTAGAGTTTTATTTTAGTATAGAAGATAGATAGATATACACATATAACATAAACATTCACGCCTGTCACCCATAGGGGTAGGCAGTGACTACGGAATTCCATTTGGCACGGTCCTGACATATCTCTCTCGCCTCCTTTACATCCAAATATCTACGCGTACACGCTCGTTGGTCAAGAGTACTTCTAATGTAGCTCATTTTCAAAATATCGCCAATTTAGTCGATACTTTCGTCTAGGGCGTCCCTTACCGACTCTGAAGTTCACATCTGCCATATAAATTTGCTTTGTCACTCTTTCCTCATTTCATTCTACATGACCAAACCACCAAAGCATTCATTTCTTAATCTTGGTCACAACATCATCATCTGATGATGTTGATGAGATAGATATAGTATAATTTGTTATTCTGGTTATATTTCTCTTATCAATTAGTAGAGGTTTATTGATTTTTTTTCAATTATGTATAATTTTTTAAGTTACCTAAGGATAATGAAAGGTATATTAATTTCATTTTTTTGTCAAATAAATAATTATAGCAAAAAGAATTAAGTAATAATTTAAATACAGAAGTAATACCTAAGTACTTTATTACAAAACTTAGTTGAAATTTACGTAGATAACGTATGAAATTTACTGAGGTAAATTGAAGTAGGCAACTTACATGTTTTTTGTAATTAAAATATTTTAAGTTATCACAAAGCACTGAAATTAAAACTTTGTTTACAAGATTTTTAACTAATTAGAATACAATCACATTTCATTTAGGAATCGTATTTCAGGTTCATTTGTTGTTTACACTACCTACCTATTTCTTTCGAGCGATTTATTAAATCGCAATTCGCGACGAGTGACCTTGCACGTTGCATGCGTTGGGCACAGAATTCGCATAGTAGCAAAAATATGTTCATTCGATCAGTCAGAATACCTTATCTATTTTACTTACCATTTCGCAACGTATGAATGAATCTCTTTACTGCACACAAAATATAAATTTATGTACAATTAGGTGACCTCATCGCTTAACGGTGATCTCTTCCAGACAAACCTTGGTAACGTACGAGTAGCAAGCACTACATTTTTTTTTATAGAAGAGGGGGCAAACGAGCATGTGGCTCACCTGATGTTAAGTGACTACCGCCGCCCATGATCAACCGCAACACCAGGGGAATTGCAGGTGCGTTGCCGACCCTTTAGAAAGGAGTAAGCTCTACATATTATTTATTCTATGCAGAATACCTTATCTATTTTAATTACCATTTCGCAACGTAGTACAATTAGGTGACCTCATCGCTTAACGGTGATCTCTTCCAGGCAAACCTTGTTAACGTACGAGTAGCAAGCACTACATATTATTTATTCTATGCTTTGGTGAAGGAGATCCGCAAATACAAGTTTGCATAAATAATAGATAAATGAGCATATATTAATACATATTATAAGCTTAATAAGTATTTACTTACATGTGCTTTTAATATAGTGCAATATCACTATATGATTTTTCTGTGCGGATATTATTGCCTGCTCCTATATTCCACTTAATTAAATGTGGAATCAAATCACCTTTGAAAATTAGCTTGGAATTGGAGAGGTTAGTGATTCTTATTAATACCTATACTACATACAAATTGTTCTTGAGTATTGAGTTGTTCTGGAAATTTATGGTATTCACTGCGATTGCGACTGGTGAATGGCGATGAAGCAGTCATAGATGAAAGCGGGCTAACATTGCAGTTTTTAATATTAAACCGTATAAATAAAAATAAACACAAATAGTTTTCAAGAAATTATAAACTTCTAAATTGTCGCTGTCAGAAATCGAACCCGGGATTTCCCGGATTCCACCACAGCGCTGATTAACAAATCAATTGCTTCAATGCGCTAAATCCTTTTCAATTTGACGACAAAGTTTAAAAGAAAGGGAGCGTTTTAGTATTATGTAAGCAAGCTCGGGGCTTTAAATTTTTTCTTACCTTTGCTGACAAATGGAGCGGGGGGGGGGGGAACATATATTAAAAATCTTACGTAAAATAAAGAAATATAAAACAATAAAAATATTAATACAACAATATTTATAAATAAAATTAATAAAAGTTACAGCTTTTGTACATACGTCCCAATGCTGGGAACAGGTCTCCACCCACTTAGTATCCACCGCGATGCCCAAATGCGTATCGGCAGTCTATATGATTTCTATTTTGTTTTAAATTCGCAGTCATGCAGGTTATCGTACGATGTTTTCCTTCACCGCCAAACACGTGCTAAATTAACTCTCAAAATCGCAACTAGGCCTAATAATCTTACGCTCGTCAGATATCGCTAGTTGTTATTAAGGTAAAATTATTTGTTAAGCAGATGGTCACATAGTGACATAATTTTTTTTAGGATAGGGTGACAAACGAGCACACAAAACACCTGATGGCAAGTAGTTGCCTAGTCATTAATAACCACGAAGTCCGCCATGGCGTAGGAAGGGGAAAAGATGCAAAGTGATATGGACGCTCGTGCGCAGCACTAAAATTTTATTTAGCTT